AGAAAGAAGAAGAAGAAGAAGAAGAAGAAGAAGAAGAAGAAGAAGAAGAAGAAGAAGAAGAAGAAGAAGAAGAAGAAGAAGAAACCACCACACATGCATATTGGAGAAACTTAGAGTGCACTGGCCCACAGGTCAAGAACACAACTCACATCCCACCAAGGCTGCACAAACAAAAGATAGTTCCACTCCCTTAATCCCAGACCACAATATGGTCCAGATGCTCTTCCACCTATGAATGAACTGGAACGTGGTTTCTGAGCATTAATCTGAGCTTTACTGGCAAGTTAACAAAACACCATGCCTTAGCTAGTCAGTGCTAAAGCTCCGAATAAAGAGAGCACGACAGCAGGGCTTTCAAAGAAGAGAAGCTTTACTTGTTTCCTCGGCCCAAATGATTTAAGGCCACATGATCTAGCAGTTCACTTTCCAGCTTCTCCTTCCAGTACCTCATGAAAAGAACTTTCTGTTGACATTAGCTCCAAACAAAGCCTCTCGGATTTCGGGCATCTTTTGCTGGGCAGAGAGATCAAGTCGACTTTCCAGGGTACTGGCAACCTTTACCATATGGTTGCCGCTGTAGAGCTCCACGCCCCCGGCCGTGTTGCTGGCCAGCTGTGCCTCTTGATCAATCTGGACCTGCACTTGATTTTGGGAGACCATCATGTACTCAGGGATGGCTTTGTGCACTGCAGCCTGCACAAGGAGGCAGTCCTGAGGCCTGCAGCGCACCATCACTATGGGCTCCAGCAGGCGGAGCAGACCCTGGAGCACTAGTTTATCCAGCAGCTCCTGGTACATAATCGGGTCCGCCACAATCCTGCAGAGTCTCAGCTTTGCCTCCCTCAGTAACTCCGAGACGAGTTCATCTCGGGCTGTAAGGACTTTCAGTCTTGCCTGATTCCTCAGTGTGGATATCTGAATTTTCTTCTGCTGCTCGATCTGCTTCTCCTTCTTCTCATAGTACTCCATAACCTTGAGTCGCTGGGACTGTACAAGGCGTCCTTTCTCAATGTTGAACTCCTCCTCAGCCTTAGCTTCGATTTCCTCCACCTTCTCGTTGGCTTCCTGCTCGATGAAAGCCATCATGTGCTTGATCTGCTTCTGGACATCGGCGTCAGTGAGAGCCATGGCGGCTCTCCGAAAGGGGGCTGGAGAGACAGCGAGCGGGCCCGGGGGCTTCTCTGAGTGAGGGTAGTGTCAAGACTGTCTCCAAAGTTCCTCTTTGCCAGCTGTGGAGTATATAAGGGAAGCTAGAGTCACAGCCTAGAAAGAAGAATCACAGAAACCATCTCTATAAGTCCCATTTTACAGATGAGCAAACTGAGGCCCAGAGAGGAAAAGGGATCTGTCTGAGGTTACCCCTTGGAGAACAGAGGTCTCGCCTGCTCTCCAGAACGCCCGGCTGCTACACTCAGATTTTCATCATTACATACTATTAGGGAGTTGGGGCCAGCTTACTTCCCAAGTTCTCTAGGTGAGGATGGCCTAAGACTCAGACAGGAAGTCAGTGGGATGGAGACATCCAAGGAACATATAAATGACAAGGACAGGCACAGCTGAGGTGGAGAGGACTGGGAGAGCCACAAGAAACTGGTCAGACAGGATTCAACCCAGGAAGGCTGCTTAGAGGCAGAAGGGTTTCAAGAGCCTTGGAGTGATTCAAAGCAGAGTGCCTTCAGCAGGCAGATAGCACTTTGGATAAAGCTGAGAGGTGGGAGGGACTAAAAGCCCACTGCCCTGGGAGTGATTTTCTTTTCCTTTTTTTTTGAGGTGGGGGGGCGCGGGGGATAGCTCAGCAGCACAGCAGCCGCCTGGCAAGCGCAAAACACAGGGTCCCAAGAAGTCTAGGAAAGACAAAATTCCACACAGTGATGCCTTTCAGGAGTCTTTTCCTCAGCAACCTGAGCTGAGAAGACAGCAACTTGGAGGATTAAAACAGCAGCAGAAACTTGATAGGCAACAGGAACAAGACAAGGAAAGAAAACTTGAAACTGAACCTGCCGATGAGCCATCTAATGTTGAATCTGTGGAGGAATCTGGACAAAGCAAAACTAAGAGACCCAAGCTGACCAAACAGAATCCAAAGACAGTTCATTGTCAGGAACTCAGAAGCGGGTGAGGCCCCAGCTATTCATTCTGCCGGAGGTACGGGATGCCAGAGAGCCTCGTGGTTGCAGGTGTCCTCAGGTAGAAGAGGTGACTGTCAAGAGTGGGCCTAAAAAGCTGGGACTCATGTCAACTAGATCAGAGCCCATACCAAAGGAGAATTTGGAGAATTGGCTAAATTATTCAACAAAAGTATTGCCAACAGTGGTGTTCCAAGCCTCCATGAATCCAAAGGACAAAGGAGGGTATGAAAAGTGAAGGTAAAGAAAAAAGCCGTTTCATTGAAAAGCAATGTCTGTCTTGGCAAAGAGGTCTCTGTAAACTTCTTGGAGGTTCTCTGGAGATGCCTGGCAAGCCTATCCAGGTGGGAGGAATTGGTTTCCCAAATGTGGGGAAAAGCAGCACCCTTCATAGCTTAAAAGAAGAACAAGTACATAATGTTGGCATATCCATGGAGTTTACAAGCAAACTGAACTATCGTATAGTTGAAGTATTTTATTATAGTTGAGTGAATATTTTAGATTCATTATCTGAAAAAATGCCTGGCACTTGCCTGGCATGACCAAGATATATTGGGTTCAGCCCCCAACATGGCATGTGTACGTGTACACACACACACACACACACACACACACACACGACGGGGGTGGGGGTAGGGAGAGGATGTGAAAAGAACCACACAAATTTTACAAAAGAATACAGTGAATGAATTTTAAAATGCGTCAAGAGGAACACATCAACAGATTTGATCAAGTGCAAGGAAGAGTCAGTATACTTAAAGACAGGTCACTTGAAATTATCCAGTTGTTATAGTTTGCATCTAGATGTCCCCTCAAAGCCTCATGCACTCAGAGGTGGGGCTTTTTGGAGGTGGCTGGATCTGGAGTGGGTGATACTGGGATTAAGGCTGTGTGGTAACTAAGTAGATTTAGCATAGTTCTGGGTGTGGATAATAGAGCCCCACCCTGGGTGTGGGTGGCACCAATCAACAGTCTTCTTTGCCCCCCGCACCCCCTGGGGGCGGGGCTGGCATGCGATGCCGGGGATTGAACCTTGGTCCCTGCCTTGCCCAAGCTTGCCTAAGCAGGTGCTTTAGACCGCTGAGCTACCTCACCAGCCCCAATCAACAGTCTTACAGCCTGGATGGAATATAAAGGGGTAGAGGGAAGGCCAGCCTGCTGCTGCCCACTTGCTGCCTCCTGCCTGCTGTGCCATGGAGTGTTTCTCCCCTACAATGCCTTTCTGCCGCATCACCCCACCTTGGAGTCAGCTGGCTATGGACTGAGCCCTCTGCAAACTATGAGTTGAAAAAAAACTTTCCTACTTTAACTTTGGATGTCCAAATTTTGTCTCAGCAGCAAGTAAAGTAGCTAAGACATCAGTCAGAGGAGAAAAAAAGTTAAAAAATGAATGATAAAGTGTGAAGAAAGCCAAGGGGACTTAGGGGACACCTGTAAGTGACACAGCATCTGCACAACGGGCACCTGGGCAGACAAGGGCATGAGAAACAGCAGAAAGATGATGCCCTCGAACTTCCCAAATTCAGGAAATGAGTGAATATTTAGATTCCAGAAGTCCAACAGAGCCCAACTAGGATAAACAAAGAGAGGTCCACACAATGACCTACTAGAAGCAAATTCACAAAAGTCAGAGAGACTTTTGAAAGCAGGAAGGAAGAGGTCATCACATATCAAGGAGGTCTGAAAGAACCAGAAATCTTGCAAGCCAGGAAGGAGTGGGGTGATATATTCAAAGTACAGCACAATAGTCTGAGGAAGAGGTTGGGGGGAGGCAGGGGAATAACTTCTAGCAAAGAATACGATATCCGGCAGAACCATCCTTCAGAAATGCAAGTGAGCCTGTGGGCCCCAGTGCTCAGAGGGGCTAAGGACTGCCTGAGCACAGAAGCTGGAGGACCTTCTGGGAAGCATGCAAGTGGAGGGAGTGGGAAGGGAGGGAGAAAAGGAGCCAGGGACGGTGTGCATGCCTGCGATCCCAGTGTCTGTGGAGGCTGAGGCAGGAGGACCACAGTTTGTGCCAAGCCTGGGCAGCTTAGTGACTGAATAACATTATCACAAAATAAAAATAAAAAAGGGCTCAATCTAAAGACCTTGAGTCCAGTCCCAACACACACACACACACACACACATACACACACACACACACACACACACACACACAAACACATGCATATAGCAGAAAAGGAAGTAAGACAGAGGACGTTCCTTTCCACTGGGCTTGCCTTACAAGAAGTGCTAAGGGTAATACTTCAATTTGAAATAAAAGGACACTAGATGGCAAGATGAAAGTATGTGGAAGTAGAAGTTTATTAGTTTTTTGGGTTTTTTTTTGGGGGGGGAACTGGATATTGAACTCAGACCCTTGCACTTGCAAGGCAAGCACTTATTCTACTGAGCCATCTCTCCGGCTCTAGAAGCTTATTAGTAAACAGCAAATATTTTGAGTTTGTTTTTATTAAGTTTATTGGTACATTTGAGGTATGCATAATGATTATATTCAACATTAAATATTTTGGCAAACAGGATATTGTAATAATATTGTAATGATTTTGCATAAATCATCTTTCATTCTGGTAAAGTACAAAAAGAATAAAAATAACTGCAAAGATTAACTAGGGGATACGTAACATAAAAGTGTATAACTTGTGTATCAGTAACAATGTGTAGAGGGAAGAGTACAATTTTTGTATGTGACTGAAGTTTTAAATTAAAAATATTGTTACATTTTATGTAAACCCATGAAATCAAGGAAAATAGTCAAACAATGTAGAGGAAGAAAACCTAAGAAAGCTAAAGGTCTCAGATTTCCTGTCCTCAAAACATATTCCAAAACTAAAGTAATCAAAACAGTGTGTTACTGGTGTAAAGACAAATATAGACCAAAATAACAGAATGAAGGGCACAAATAAAGCCACAGGTTTACAATTAAATGATCTTCAACAGTGGCACTGAGATTTTGCAGGGAGGAAGGGACAATCCTCATTAAAACATGTCTGGAAAGCTGGCGATCTCCATGCAGAAGAATGAAATTGGCCCTTTATCTTACACATACACAGAAATCCACTTAAAATGGATTAAGGATTAATCATTGACCTGAAACTACAAAACACCTAAAAGGAAACACAGGCAAATCTTTATAACCTTGGTCTAAGCTATGATTCCTTGGATGCAGCTCTAGGAGAAAAAAACAAGTATAGAGAAATGGAATTATATCAAATTAATTTTTTGTGTGTGTTTCAAAGCAAACTACTATCAGAGTGAAAAAGAAAATTTTTAAATGAAGAAAAAATGCAAGCCATATATGGCCAAAGGACTTAGTGGAGTGGCCAACGAGTAAATGGAAAGATCTTCAACAGTACTAATTATTAGGGAAATGAAAATCAAAATTACACTAAAGTCGGACCTCATACTTGTGAGAATGGCTATTATAAAAGAAAAAAGAAGACAATAGCAAGTATTGGCAACGATTTATAGACGTGGGGTCCCCTGTGCCCTCACTGTTGGTGAGAAGATAAAATGAAGGGCCAGCTATGGAAAACAGTGTGGAAGTTCCTCAAAAAATTAAAAATAGAACCACCACTTCTGGGTATTTACCAAAAGAGTTGAAAACAGGATCTCTAAGAGAGATTTGCATATTCATGTTTATCGCTTTCACAACCAACAAGAGCTGGAAACAACCTAAATGTTCAATGAAGGACACGTGGATTTAAAGACATAGGATATGCATATAATATTCAGCTTCATAAAGAAAGGAAATGTCATGGCTACAACATAGGTGACTCTTGAGGACATTGTGCGAAGAGAAATCAGACGTATATGAAAAGACAAAGGCTGCCTGTTCCACTTCGATGAGGCACTGGAAGTAATCACACTCCCAGACACAGCAAATGGAAGGATGATTGCCACGGCCTCAGGGACAGGGCCACGGCTCCTTGCTGTGTTAAATGCATGCAGAGCCTCGGCCATGCAAGACAGAGGAGTTCCAGAGCCATACTGCATGATAGCACGCACGTAGCTCACAGTTCTGCATGGTGCACCTAAACGTTTACACAGAGAGCACATTTAACATTAAGTGCTTTTAACACACACACACACACACCCTGTCCACAAAGATGTACCACTCACTGAGCTTTGTAGAAATTAAGCCAGTGTTCATGACAAAGAGCAAGCCCAACAGTTCAGTTCAGCCTTACACAGAAAACAAGACAAAGCAAATCAAAACAGAGCACTAACCCACTTTCTTCCTTGTTTTGTTATGTAATTTAACAGCAAAGCATATTGTTGTAAAAAGAGCAAAACAGTCTCTGTTTCTAAACAACAAGTTAATTGCGTGGTTTAAAAAAAAAAAAAAACAACAGCTTGCTAAGCCACCCTGCCCATCACTGGCTTTGGGGGCCATGTCGGACAGATAGCCGAGGAAGCCCGCGATGCAGGAAGCCACAGGTTAAGTGTGTGAGGGAAAAGACGCAGTGGCTGAACTTACCAGGCCCTGCCAAGGCCCGCCTTTGCTGCGGCGCCGGGAGTCTGCACACAGAACATGGAACTTGGAACACACCCCAGAACCTGGCACTGTCACTCCCTTCATTATGCAGACGACCCTCGCCGTTGCCATCTGACCAGGCAGCCTGAATCCATCAAACCCAGCTATCCCTGGGGACGGCTGGCCACGTCTGCCAAGAGGAGGATGAGAAGGATTTCACTGGCACTCGACCCAGGGCCAGCCACCTCCCTGGGCACTGAGAATCTCAATTAAGTTGGCACACAGCAGGCTCCACTCCAGGGTGGGCTCATCCTAGAGACACGTGTGGAGCCCGGCAGGCCATTTATTAATTTCCTAATGAAAACGACAGCTGTCCTGCTGGCAGTCCACAGCCTCCTTCCCCTGAACGCGAGTGGCCAGGGAAGCCAAATCTGGAGGTTGTTTAATGAGAAATTAGCACAAGTAACAGCCACCAGATGGTCTTTAGGGAGGCACGCCCGCTGCAGGGGCTGTCCTGCTGCAGTCTGGGCCCGGAAAGGACGTGAGTGGGCAAGGCCAGTCCCACAGCGTGGGCTCCAGAGGCCGCCTGCTGGATGCCACGTTCTGTGCCGGCCATTGGTAGGCCTCTGGCAACGCAGCCGGGCCCTCAAGGACTGCTTTGTCCTGTGCATATGGAAGTGGTAATAGCATCGATGGGTTTGACGAAAGAAATGACTTGATCTCGGCACACAGCTGACCGCGTGCTTGGAGCTGTCTTCTGTGGTACCCTGCTGCCATGATCGTTGCTGTGTTGCAGGCCACTCTCCTCGTCACAGTCCCTCTGTGTGTGTATCGACGACCTGGGTCTCATTCAATTTCCCTTCACTAAAGTGAGAAGTTAGTCTGGTCTTGCCTTTGAAATTCAGCAGCCCTGCCTGGAATTCAGACATCCCCCCCACGCTTCTCAGCCCTACGCTTGGTGATGGGAGTGAAATTCCTGAACTCCAAGGCCCTTGACTGAGAGTGGAGTGGAGTGGAGTGACTTCCCGGCCCACACACATCCGCGTCCTGGGTCCTCGTGCCTGCTCCTCATCCCTCGTCTTAACTGTTTCTTTGTGCTGGGACTCAAAGGCAGCTGCAGGGTGGGGCAGGGTTCAAAGTCAGGGCTCAGGCAACTGTCTTTGCAGGAATGTATGTGCAGCGCAGCGAAATGCGTAATGTGTCTGGCAGATGTAACTTCTGGCTGTCTGGGATGGGGATTAGGAGCCACATGGGCCTGTCGCTTGAGCAGAACAGCAAAACAAACCAAGAAACACACATCTGCTCTAGCAGGAGAGCTTGGACCCCTCGGCTCAGCCAAGGCAGGCTTGCCTGCAAGTGGCATCCACCCCTGCCTCGTGTTTGGGGCCAGGGTCGGCAGGAAGCAGTCCAAGGAGCCAGAAGCCCCGCCTCCCTCCAGCGCCAGCTTTTCCTAGCCTCGCAGACACATGCCCCCAGCTCCATCGAGCAGCTTCCGCACACGCGGCCCTCTCAGCTACAGTAGCTACTTCCCCCCACTTGCTAAATCCTACCCTTCTTTTCAGGCACCACTGGAGCCCTCCCACCATTCCTGAGCCCCTGGATTCCTCAGCAAGATGAGATGGTGTGACCCGTTTTCCAGATTAGATTCCGAGGTAGATCTGGGGTCTTCAAAGTTACTGGACATACTGGATGAGGCATTTCTTTGCCTTGGGTCATGGTTAGAGGATCTTTTGGCCTCTTAATGATTTTTTTAAACTGTACATTTATGTTCTATGCACTTTCCTGAATGTGCATGAAATTTCACAATAGAAAAGCAACCCCCCCCCCACTTCCCAAGCGGGAAGGCTTTTCTTTCTTTCTTTTTGTATTTAGTACACGGTCGACAGGGTCACACTATGTAGATCTGACTCATAGTGATCCTCCTGTTTTCAGCCTCCCAAGAGCTGGGATTACAGGCACACGCCACCATCCCCAGTCTCAATCACAGTCTCAGCATGCCCTGGGGGTTGGGCCAGCAAACTCTGTGGTGCCTGGAATCGAACCCCAGCTGCTGTGCTCTGCCTAAGCTGGCACTTTAGTCTACTAAGCTATCTGGCTGGTGGGGGAGTCGGGAGAGGGGGTGGAAGAACAGAAATATGGCCAGCACCCCAAGCTGTGGCCCCTCCTGTGACCTTGTCTCAGAGGTTTCAGACCTGGTGACTTCATATCTGTGGGTGCAGGAGGGGCCTCGGGGGAAGTGCAGCTTCCCTTTCTTTGGGCCCTAGCCTATGTGAGGCTGTAAGCTTTTGGGGGAAGGACAGAATCCCCCCACCTGGGAGGCAGGAGCAACAGGGGAGCTCGGTGGGCAAAATGTGTTTGCCAGCCCAGCGAAGAGCCCTACCCAGACCCTGAAGCAACTGTGCTCCCCTCCAGCTGGGTTTGGAAGACTGAGAGGTCAGCCTGTGGGGTGTGGGCTCCTGGAGCATGCCCAAAGGGGAAGCAGCCCCAGACTGGGGCCTCCAGACAGCAGCTTGAGAAGGCCAGGGGCTCCCCAGAGCTCGGAGTGCAGGGCAACTCATATGGTCCAGAAAGCGGTGGAGAAATCTAGGAAATCCTTTTGGGGATTTCAAGTGCAGGACGAAGTGTCGTGAAGGGTACGTCCCCCGTTTTGTCTTTCAACAGATATTTGTGGAACTGTATGGGAGGTGCTGGGCAGGCATGAGAGACAGGCAGAAGAGAACAAGGCAGATGCCAGCCTAGGAGTGCGGGGATCCCACCCAAACCCCTCAACACACGCTCATGGCATCTCTTGTCAGGTGTTACCCTGCAGACTATGAAACCTGCTGGTGGGTGGTGTGAGCCGCCCCACTGAGGACACTCAAACACCTGCGAGGGACTAGGGGCCGAGGTGAGCAACAGCATTCTGCTCTCTAGGGAGCAAGCTGGAGACAGTTCTCCTGGCCATGCAGGAGAACTCACACAAGAAAACAAGGTTCAGGCAGATCCAAAGCAGCCCCTTAAGTTGCAGGAGTCAGCTGGGAAAGGCGGACCATTGGTAGTCGCCATTGAGGAACGTTTATTCCAACAGGAAAAAAATGACTCGGTGCTTACTGAGGCCATTGCAGTGCCTTGGTGTTTCCAGAGTGAGCATTGGTTTAGACAGACGGAAGGTACCTGCTGCTGTCACACTGGTGTGGGCTCTGGGGCAGGGAAGAAAGGACAGAGGTGAAGCAGACTTCAGCCAAAAAGCGGGGTCCGTTGGGCAGGGAGGAGTAAAGACTGCGATGAGCAGAGAGAGGGCGAGGCCACGCAGATGGGGAGGCTGTGGTGGCCAAGGCACAGTGGGGCAGGTGGGGGGCCACCGAGTGTAGCAGCCGTAGAAAGGCCTTGGGGGGAGTCTAGAGAGAGATTGGGGTTTGGTTTGACTGAGGACACTTGGCAGTGTCTAACTGAGATTTGGGGCATTAGGCAAAAAGCCCCACTTTTGAGCAGGGCTCTAATTTAACCAAACCCTAGTTCAGGAGGATTAGCCTGGCAGAGGTAAGAGAAGCCAACTATAAAGCAGATGGAGATTGCAGGGATAGAGACATGGTGTTGGCAGTGGAAGAGGGAGATTTGGCACAGGGCTGCTGAGGTTGATGACTTGGGGTCTGGTGCTCACAGGGCAGAACTCCTGGGCTCTAGGTGAGCTTGGGGTACACAGGAAGTGGGCATCCTGCTTTCTAGGGAGCAAGCTGGAGATAGAGATAGAGACAGAGATGGAAAGGGATAGAGGGAGGGGGAGGAGGAGGGAAGAGAGAGGAGGAGGGAAGGTGAGGGTAAGGAAAGGGAGGGGGAGAGAAACAGAGGGGGAGGGGAAGAGGAAGGGAGGGAGGGGAAGGGGAGGAAGTGTGGGGGAAGGAGAGGGGAGGGAGGGGAAAGGGGAAGGAAAAGGGGAGAAGGAAGGGCAGGGGAAGGCAGGGGAAGGGGAGGGGGAGAGGAAGGGAGGGGAAAGGGAAGCAAGTGTGGGGGAAGGGGAGGGGAGGAAGGAGGAAGGAAGGAAGGGGCAAGGGAATGGCAGGGGAGGGGGAAGAGGAAGGGAGGGAGGAGGAAGGGAGGGGAGGGTGGGAATGGGGAGGGGAGCGGAAAGGGTGGAGCGGGTAGGGAAAGGGTGGGGAGGAGAGGGAAAAGAGGAGAAGGTAGAAGAAAGGAGGAGGAAGGAGAGAGGGAGGGAGGGAGGGATAGGGATACAAGTTCATTTGGTTGAGAAGTAAAAGAAGACACCTAGAGAAAAGATCAGAAGTGCCTCTGCTTCAGTTCTGGCAGTAGAGGCAGTGGAGTGCTGCACCCAGGCCAGGCGGGGCTGGGCCCGCTGAGAAGGCTAAGGCCCGCAGGACCGTGCAGGTGGAGAGGCAGCCCGCTGAGAAGGCTAAGGCCCGCAGGACCGTGCAGGTGGAGAGGCAGCCCACTGAGAAGGCTAAGGCCCGCAGGACCGTGCAGGTGGAGAGGCAGCCATGCAGGCAGGAACACATTTCTGCCAAAATCATTTACATTAAGAATTTACAACTTAACTTCTCTTTCTAAACCATCTGTGGGCAGATTACTTCAAAGCTGCAGGGTTCTCCCCAGAAACAATTTGCTTCGAATTTGCATAGCTTAAAGTCTTCTGGGCAGCTTCCCCCAAAAGAAAGGCCAGCCATAATTTTCCATGCATGTATCTGGTAACACGAATAGCTGGTTGGAAGACAACACTGCGTGTTACAACAAACACAGTGAAATTCATATTACTTTGTTAAGTGAAATTCTGTATCGCTTGTAATTTTTTCTGTTTTAATTCTAATTTATACTCTCTTTTTTAAAAAAAGCCAGTCATTTTCATCTCTGTCTCAAATGGCAAACAATGCCACAACCCAGAACTCTGCCACCTTAGAGTTTGTGGACTTGGGCTCATAAGACCTAATTTTTCTTTTTAAAACAGAAGCTGGAAAATTCATTTTAAAAGTAAAATGTATCCATTGGTTTCATGTTAAAATATACATAAACTTGGCCATTTTTAAGTGTATACTCTGTAACATAAAGTACACATGAAATCAAATGGGTTGGAAAATCCAGAATTCACTGCAGGTAA